ATGCATGCTGTATGACCTTAAATCATTTCTCTCAAACACAGAAGTACTTAAAGATGGACTCAGAGAAAAGGTGGCTGACAGAACCAGATGTGGACATCATCTCTAGAATAAGTTACTGGTAAGCAGCCTCTCTATCTTCAAGTCTTGATCTGTATCTATCTATTCATATTGGTAACTTCAAGCATTACTTATTTCTGTACATGGGAAAAGAGAAAGTCAAATCAGGATATCGTAAGAGGGAGAGGTGGTTTCTCCTTTTCACACTTTAAGATTTAGCATCATGCAGCCAGCTGCTGGTCTGCACCAGTTGTTATCTGATCAGGCAACAGGTTCCTTTTGGATAAGAACAGTGACAGTGTTATAGTGTACTGATAGGGCTGGAAAGAAATAAAGGGTAGTATGGTGACTTCAGAATCAGCTCATAAATTCTTAGTGAGTGAGCAGATCTGTAAATTGCTGAACTCTGGTGAACTCTCAGGACCTACCACTGAAACAGTCTGGTCCTTCGACCGCATCTCCTTATAGAGACGAGCAAAACCTCTACGGGGATAACATATGGGTCAAAAATCTGGTCACCACATTTGGTCAGCTGCATTCAGTGTCATCTACTGGAGCACCAAGAAGATAAAAATAGGCTCCAAGAGTAGAGTGTTGATTTCTTTTTGTAGGAGAGGAAGGACGTTCTGAGGTAAAACCTGTCAAACGCGTTCAGAAATAATGAAGAGCAAATAGTTTAGCATTCTTAATTAAAAGAGGGTAGATCCAGGCCCTGACTCTGCACACTTCCCCCCCTCCACCCCCAGTCACTAAGGAGGACATAAGTGCTTACACTCTAAAAACTTCCAAATCAGAAACAACTTCTAAGAGGCGGGCAGACAGCTGTTACACTTGGTCAAGCGTTCTGTCTGTTATTAAAATTGGCAAAACAGACAAAATTCAGTCAAGTCAAAACTTGAATACTGTGAGCTGGTTGTCTACTGGACAGAATGATCCTCTAAGGTGGCTCCACAGTAACTAGCTGTGATCAACAACAGGTCACCTGTGGTTGCACAGCATTGCTACACTGTCCACTTACCTGCTTGGATCAATGCTAGATCAGAATCAGTGTGCTCCACATATGACTGTGTCATTGAACTTTCCTTTTTCCTTTCAGTTACTCCCTCGCAGTATATTCTTGCAGCTTAATTTTACATGTGTTTTGAATAATTCATATTTTTACTCAAGTTATCCCAATTCCTCATTACACCAGATAATTGAGCGTTGAGTGCATCACGAAAATGATTATACAGAAATGAAAGTTCAATGACTCAAAAAGTTCAATGCAAGCTGATGCCCTACCTAAGGTTAAGTACCTGATGAGAATGATGCTCAGTAATGTATGCTGAAAATACTGCTTACTTACCTATTCAGCTGACATGGATTACTTCCAAACCCATTAAGCCTCCAACAGAAGGCAGGACCAGATAATAAATACATGACTCTGGCAAATCCAGAATGAACAGGGAGGCTTGGACAGACCAGCAATCCAAATTTATTCTATTTCTGATCTTTCTGATTCTACAAGCTGAAACCTCAGCACGGAGCATGGGCTCAAGCCCCAGCCCTACGATACAACAGCTCTGTTTTTCCTTCCTTCTGCAGGTATCACAGTTCCAGTGACTACTGACCTTCTGACAATTAAGATTATAAACAAGATTTCTTCCGTGGTGAAGCCTTAGAGCCTCCCAAGTGAAGGTCCTTCACTGCAAGACACCGCAAGTGGTGACAGCAGACCTCCAAAGTATGCAGGCACATTTCTTTGCCCAGACTGAAGGCATTCAAAACCCCTCAGTGCACTAAGAGAGAACTCCACTAGCTGCTAAGACAACGACGTCTTTATTTACTAGCAATAAAGCATGGAATAAGATAGTTGACTGAGTTTTAGAGTATTGCCATCACCCACAGAGACCATCTGAGTCAGTTCAAAGTGATTCACAGAGTAGCAAATCTAATTGAGAAAAAAATCTATGCCTCTGAGGGAAAAACGGGCTTAAAAGCAAACCATACTCCAAACTGCAAATATTCACCGACAGACAGACATGCACATGCACCCCAGCAACAAAGCTCAATTGAAGCAACCATCAGCTACTGCTGCCTAACAGGTATTGAACAGGAAGCTCCCATTCCCACTGATCCAACTGCCTTATTTTTCTTGTAGGATTATTTATGTTACTTTCTCTCTGAAAGTAGCAAGAGTCTTCACTTCAATCCAAGCACTAAAAAACTAATGCAGTTTCTTGGCAGAAGTCAAGTCCTACACACGAGCAGGTAAGCAGACATAAAAACAGACGAAGCTACCCCAGAAGACATTCCCCCCCCACTTCGTGTAGGTAACTGGGCTGCATCCAGCCTTTTATTGGATTTGCTTGAACTAGCTCCAATTACAAAACTCATCTTGTTTTTCCTCCCAAAGATAAAAATTACACTTTCCTGGCAACTTAATTCTAAACACTTTTGAGGCAGAAGAATGAGCTTTAACAGAGAATTTATAGGTGCAGCTGACGCTTTTAATAGATAACATGTAAATATAGGCAATCTTATTAATTAGTTTTGGGGTGTGTGGGGGAGGGGGGGGATTTTATTGTGCCATTTAACAGAAAATATATCCAGTTAAAATGAAAACTCACTAAGAAGGGTATTTTCGCTGTGAAAGAAGTACCCAGGTGGGGCACAGCAATTAGTTCCACTACCATAGCTGTGTGGGTAAATGCTGCCTCAACAAGGTTATCTATACAATGAGTCCATATATGCAGACTGAAATATTTAACATAAAGTCTGTCTCTGACCTTAATGTTCTGGAGCGGGAAGGGTTTTATACTTATACCAAATTCCAAACATGAGAACAATCCCATCATAACATGAAACGCGCTGCAGGACCAGGGCCTGATGGTCATTGTGGTGTCACTTGGCATAGTTATAAAACACAAATTGCTTCTAGTGGAACAAGCATGGTGCAAATTTTAATGTATATAATTTTACATTTTATGCTAAGCAGTAATTTTCATTTTAAAAAAACCCCCCCTTTTTTTTTTTTTTGGCAATACATAAATAAATTGGCAAGTGGTCCTGTTATATCACAGCAAATCCTGTCAGTTTATTGCTTATTCCAGCTGTAAATCCTCATCTGGTGATTAATATCCATGACACAGCAGGCATGGCTACAATATGATGACATGATAGGTGTTACAGACTAGTCCCCTTCCTTCGCTATAAGAAGCTTCAAAAACGTTAGTCTGCCACTTAAGCAGCTTCGAAGTACAATCTGTTTTTGCTTGTCAAGACTGGGACCTATAGAGAAAGCCAGGAGAATTCAGTCTATTTTAAACTGTTTACTTTTTGCCTTAGGTTTCCAAAGAATTAAGCTAAAGAACATTCAAGGCAAGCTATTGCTCTCGGCCACCTCAGCTTTTCTGTGTAACCACACCTGGGAGATGCTGTATAGTTCATCCCTATGCTTGCACACATAACCTATACATTTCTTTTAATTTCTAATTTTAATTTCTACAAACAACAGCTATATTTACATTTTGTTTCACAACAACGTAAACACTGAGCCTTCACTGAGAGCAGCAGTTCTGTTCACAGAGCCCCTTAAAACTAAAGGTCCCACACTGTTTTGTTTCAAATCTTCAAATATTTGCATCTGTTCAGGTATTTGCAAACCTGCTCTACCCTCTTGCTCTGGACTAAGATTTGGAATACTAATCAGAAGCCTGCTCTTGCCTTCGTTGAACGTACGCTTCGGTAGGAAGTCTGCTGTGTCTGTTTTGGTATGTTTAATGGCTCAAATAAGGTCTCCTTGGTGGTTTCCCATTTTCCAAAGTACCAAACGCTGTTCCCTAGGTATTTTCACCTTTCTTACTTCATCTACCTAAACGTTTCCTGATAAGGGTAAAATCACATGAACCTACAGGTATGATACATGTTCATTTAACTGACAGAACTTTATTTTAAAAACGTGATTGTTTTTGTTAAATTTAACATGATTCAGAATTAACTGTTGTAAAATCATACATAAAAACGGGAGATATGATGGTCAAAGTTCTGTTACCAGCTTAAAATTAGTAAGACATCCCAAATACACCTTTGGGGCTTGTATCCTAGGTTGTCCATCACCTTCCAGTTATATTCATAATAAAACTCTGCAAAAAGCATTATGAAGGAGAACTTAAAAGAAATTGATTTGCAAGTCCTTAGGCTACAAAAAGGTTCACTTCTGAAAACTTTCTACCTGGCAAGTGTCATAAAATTTGTAACAAAAAATATGCCTATTTTGCTCCTTGGTACAAGAAGCCAGTGTCAAGTTCATTGCTGTTTCACAGACCGGATTTCCAAACCACTGTCACTGTAATTGATCCATGAGGTCTTAGAAGACATGAAGGAAGAAATGTGGATGACTATTAAAGTGGTAGCTTACTACTAATAGTGTGGGTTCAGTTTTATTCTCCAAGAAACCATTAATTAAAAAAATTTTTTTGAATTTAAATACTACATCTACATTGGCAGCTAATATCCTTTTTGGTTCAAAATGATGCATACCTTACACACATGTTCATGCAACTTCTACATGTGGCCCATGAAGCTAATGGGACTGCTCGTCTGGCTAAAGATATACCTGCTCTAATACAAATGTTCATGTATGCAGTTTCTATGAACTGTGAGAGTAACGAGAAATATATTCGCAGTTATACGTGCAAAAGGGAAGTACAGGTGGCTCCCCTTAAAAATACCCTGAATCAAAGTACAGAAAACTACACCACGTATAATTACTGGCCACAGTAATTCTAACAGTAATATCAGCAATAATTAAACTAGTAAATTCAAAAAAGGTACTAGGCAAAATAACTTTAAAATGAGAAAAACAATATTCTAGTAATATTCTCAGGATGGGTGCTCAAGAACACGAATCAGGCAAATATAGGTCAAAAAACAGATGAGCCTCATGGTTTGGCAGTACTCACCATTCAGCCACTTGGAGTTGTACTGTGCAGTGCGGAGAGGAGGAAGGGCCCCTAAGCTGCGATAAATGGCAGGATCCCTTCCCGGAAAATCCATGGCAGTAGCAGCATAGAGCTCCCCACTGGCAGTGAGAAGAGCAGTGGAGTTGTGTTGGGGACTGTATGGACAACGAGCCATGCCACTGATTTGGTCATGTATCTCTGTCAAGTTGCTTAACTGTAAAAGAGAGAGAAAAAGGAATTAAGATCACTTGAAAATTAAAATTTCAGCCAAGATGCATCAATCTGAACAAAATCTAATAATAAACACCTATTATCTGCTTTGGTATTGTATGACAGCAATGAGCTGACCTTTACTCTCTGGTATAGATCTTACTATAATGTTGTTGATCTCCCTTTTGCACTTTGGGTGGAGAAAACACATAGGTTAATCATTAGTTACCATGCCTAAAATGTTTTGCATTAGAAGCACTTCAAAAACTAATTATCTAAACTGATGGTATTAATAATATCAAAGTGTGTATATTTTGACAATAGCCTAGTTCTGAAACTTCCTATTCTTTGACAAACAGAAACCAAAATCAACATGCATGGTTACAGTTTGTTATCTTAAAAAGACCTGACTGTCAGAATCAACTAAGGAATTCACCATAGCAATTGGTGAAAATTCTATTATTTGTTTTGCTGGTGTCTTCCAGGAAAGAACTGCAAATGAAGAATGTGATTAAAAAAAAAAAAAAAAAGAGCTTTCCAATTCAGTGGAACTATCTATCTGATTTATTTTCACTCAAAAAAATTCAAATCATGTAGTACGATGCTAATATGTTAGTAGGAGACAAAGGCACGATAAGATTAAATACAATAAACGTGCCAAGGAGTTTTTTGGTGACAGTTATATTTTCTGCATTTAAACTTCTCTCCACTCCTGAAATAAATAGTCTAATAGTCTAAATAGTGGTGTTTTGATTTTTATTATGACTATTATTCATCCTTAATGGACTCTCTTTCTTGGATACACCCAATGTACAAAAAGGGCTGCATTCAGAAGCAGAATGATAGATTTTCTTAATGAAGACTTCCCATTTCCACCAGTCAGAAATCAGTAGTAGAGGTACTCTTCTCTTCCCCAGAACTATGCATACAGAGCTCACAGCTACCCAGCTAGATTTTACAACTAAACTTGTTGATATCAACTCAGCTTGGCAGAGGGACAGAAGTCACAGAAATATTTAAGTCTCATGAAAACTGGCATGTGGGAGGAAGTGAGTTGCTCATATCTGTGCTCTCTCCCCCAGCTGAGGAAAAGACTGCAAAAAGAGCTCCTCAGTTAATTCTCGTCCCTGGCCTGCCGCTAGCCAAATGAGCCTTTCACGCATCCGCTCGCCAATCAACATGCAAGTAGCCTGGACCCAGCCACAGCGTGTTCTGCCTCATGATCAGCTGGTCCTGAGCATGGACTTGACTTGCGGGGGGAAACGTTCAACGCGTACCGTCCGGTTGGTGCAGATAGGAGTGAATGCGTTGGTTCCACAGGTGAAGAGGTGGTTGCCGCCAACGAGAAGCACTCGAATATAGTTCTGGCACTCCTCCTGCCACATGGAAAAGAAATCACGTATTCAGGGACACGTTAAAGGAGAGGGGAGATCAGTCAGGACCTGCTTTTCATGGTTATGAAAATTCACATGAGCAAGGCTTAAGTTTAACCAAGGTGTCATCCATCGTGTCATTAGGGAATTTCTATGTGTCAAGACAAGCATCTAGCAATCCTCGCAAAAAGTTCTTAATGGGATGACAATAAACCTCTTCAATACTGAAGGGATCTTCTAAAAGTGATCGCTGTGCAACTAAATGATCCTCAAAGGTTTAGCTATGCTCTGAAAGGGATATATACTGCCTTAAACAATGCACTGCTGCCTCAAGAGATCATATGCTATTTTCCAAGACAGATCGGGCTGAGGGAGGAAGTCAGAAGGAAGACAGGAGAAAGAAGAGGTTGTCACTAACAAGAGTATGTTGAAACTGTTACAAATAAACTTCTAAAGACGACGTTTAGTTGCAGATCTATCGCTACTACTTTCACAACTTGCCCAATGCATTAGAAGAACACTAAATCACACCGAGGACATACACAATTCTATAAATCTGAAGTTTCTCAAAGAAGCCTCCAAAATTTCATCACCTCAATATACAGAAGCTCACCCCTGAGGAATGATCTTATACATTTTTTACTCCATTACAACGTGTGAAGGCTGTATGAGGTTAATTTGTCTCACTTCAGAATTTAGACTCTAACAGCGATATCTAGTGATTATTCAGAGAGCTTCCTTCCGGAATACCAAAAATCCCTCAAAACTGTATATAGGAAAGATGCAAACATTCCTCCCGCAAAAATAAATGCCCCTATCTCATAACATACCGGAAAATAACAATATGCTTGAAAAGAAAAACTCACTCACAGGAATCTTCCATTTAAGTGCTCTGCTAAAACGCTTTCCAGCGTTCATCCACAAGATAGTCTCAGATAAAGCATTACAAAACTTGTGAGAATTCTGCTACATGCTTCTAACTGATAGTAAGTGGAATCATGCAACTAAATCCACGTAACTGCATATCGCAGAAGCCCCGTTATCTGGCCTACAGTTATTTCAAATGTATTGTTTGTGTATCTTGCAAATAGATTCTAATCCTGGAAAAAAGAAAATAATCCTGAATAAATTGAACATGCACAAAACAGACTGCAAAGCAAGATGGGCAATTTATCTTGAAACTACCAAAATTGTTATGTTAATATTCTTTCAACCAAACAGAAGCCACTGCACTACAACAGAATTTGGTAAGGCAATAAAATGTTAAGGCAAAAAGCCTTTTAAGAAGTGATTATTTCATCTCTGGATACTTTCCTTGATGCAGATTGTTTTAACTGCACAAGAAAGGAATGCAGGTTTTGCCTTTTTTGTGAGAAGGACAGTCAAGGACATTCACGTAAAATAAAAGAGTTTTTTTTTTTTTTTGAGCTTTTGCCATCCTGCCCTTTGCAGCAAGCCACGGAATGTAAGTGTAGGAAAAATAAGTGGGTTCCAGCATTGCAATGCAGCCAACCTCTCCTCTTCATATTCCAGACATCTCTGAAATAGTGCCTTTGCAAAATTAGTTGCACAGTGATCACCCACTCTTTCTATTCAAAAATAAGTGTTCAGTTTTTGAACACTGACATTCCTGGGATTCACAAGATTCTTCTGCGTTCCCGAGTCCTGAGCCAACTTTGCAACAATTCACAGTGCAGGGTAAATAATACATCTCATATCAAATTTGTGTTGAGTACCTCGTAAAACAAAATTAAAGAAATACTTTTATAATCAGATATTTTCTTCGTAAAGCAAACGCACAATAAAACAAGACAAATTAAACAAAAAGCCATGAATAAAACAATCGTCGCCCAGAAACATACTGAAAAAGCGCTCAGTTATTTAGTCATTTGAACTGACTCAGAGTCAGTTTTCTAGCTCTGGAGTCAAGCTCAGCTGTGCTGGTTCACTTTTTGGATAGGTAAAAAAAGAGGTCTGTGCCATCAAAGTGGTAGTTGGGAATTCAATGGACTTCGAAAGCAAAGGTTTTCCAGACTTGAGGGTTGTGCTATGTTTGGTGGCCATCTTTTACACATCTGATCTTGACCCCATTGCCATATACATTCCTATTCCCCTAGGAGAATACCCTTGAGAGGAAGAAATTCAATTAGCAAGCACTGTCTACTTTTACTTTAGCATACCTGAAACAAAATACAATTTGAAACAATTCAGCATGGTGTAAGGCGAGGTTACTATTTAAGTTTAATACCAATTTAACCATCTGAGCCAGATTGTCCTTCAGTTGTCATCTGTATGTAGCAGTTTGTTGCACAGGCGAACATTTTAAATACATCTGCATTTAATTTTTTTGTTTTTAATATATGTTATAAAAAGTTCATTGCTATATACACAGCCATTAGAATCTTAAATAAGCAAAGAGAAAATGGCTTTGCTTACAATTTATTTTTCCAGTGTCTCTTTGGTCTACTCTACTTTTTACCTTAAGTACTTATATTTTTCCTTTGTAATAGTTCCTACCACAAGCGCCAGCCCAAACGGCCAAATTTTTTCTCTTAGCTGTGCGTGATGTTTCAGACTTCTAAATGTTAACACATGCTGGCCACGAGGACATCATTTTGTCTGTCTCGCTCCTTGATCCACTAGTTATTTTAAGCAACTGCTTAGGGTGGATAAATGCATGAAGTTTAAGTAACAAATAACAGCCTTTGAAGGTCAACTGTGCATTACACTGTCAAATGTGACAGATGTCCCTATATATTTTCCTCTCCAACTCTTTTCCCTCCTTGGCTTCTAAAGCATAAACCTCAGAACGACAACTACTGATAACAGCCAGAGGCAAAAATTCAGTGCAGCTTCCTTCTCAACAAAAATAAAAGTTGCGTTTAACTGACCACTATCCAAAAAACTGCTAGGGCTGGTTCAGAGCTTCTGATTTCAGGGCATTCGATCAGCAAGTGGACTTTTAGTTTTGCTGCCTGAATTCACTGCCCCCATAGTGGTCCGTGGGCAGAGGAGCCAGGATCTGGATGAATTGCTTAGCCACAGCCATCCTTGTAACTCTAACAACAGTTTGGGCTGGACCTCTTTACATGACAACAGAGCAGGAAAAAGTCCTTCTCTGACACCAATAACTGCAATGTCTCCCTGGGAACTTGACCTGCAAAGAGACAATTAACTCGAGCACTGGAGCATATTCCTCCTGATCTGATCATTCCCAAGGTTTCCCAAAGGAAGGCTGGTTTGACTAGAGAGAGGCAGCACGTCACAGATAAGGTGTTCTCACCTTCATGCACAAGTTCTCCTTATGCAGAGAGTATGGTTCTTCAGAAGCATGTCCTATGTCATGAGCTTATCTTAATCTTGGACATAAGGCAATAAAAAACAGAAACATCTTCAGGCTATCCTTTGTCTGCCCTAAATTTATCCTTTCATTTTAATGTCGATCACATCAGTGAAAGCAAAAGAGGCAAAAAAAAATTCAAAGAAAAAGACAGCTGACCTTCCATCTGGGTCAGTGGCCTCTGTTAATATCTCAGCACTCTCCAGCAATTCCCACATGAGGCTTTCAGGTCATGTAGTTCTTAACAAAGTCTGCAAAGACCTCCCAGGATTACCTTAGGATATAATGAAATCTAAAGGGTTGCATTTCTCTTCTAGATGTGAATGAGGAACAAGGCTACGGGTCCAAATCAAACACTAAATCATTATCCAATACTAAGAAATAATCTTAGAGGGCTGTATTAAAAATAGCGTATGTGCTATTGCACAGTGACTGTGACAACACGGATAGTGCTTTGCTGTGAAACCATTCATTATTTCTTTGAAAAGATGTGATGAGCATGAATGAAAAACCATTCTTATGGTTTTTCTACTACACTACTAAGGTCCACATTTCAAGTCCGATGTCGACAGAGCTAGTGAATTTCATACCATTTTCTTCATCGCCTCTGAAGCACAGAGGTAAATATCAAGCACAAACGTTCCTAAAATTACGCCTAATACACAGAGAAATAAATGGAGGATTTAACAGAGGAATTACAGTGACTCTGGATTTACAGCACTGAAAATGAAATGAGAATATATCCCATTACATATGACAGGCTCCAGAGTCAAAACATTAAATTGTTAAAAACTAGAGTCCTTGATCTTCTCAGAAGAGAATCACGGGATCTAACCGCCCTCACCTTCCCTTTATTGCTTTTCATTACTCTGCTTACACATCAGTGTCACGCTGCTTCCCAACAGACCTCCTCAGAAAGAAACAGGAGATAATAAGGATGCAAAAAGTAGCGATTTACGCACTGAATTATGCCTGCTATTAAAACATAAATTTTGTTCCAGCAGGAGAGCTGTCATGCGCTTACCTTTGATTTGCCTTTACTGTAACAGGCTCTTTTAGTAGCTTCGTCACATTGCCATTCCACTGCCTGTAACCAACAAAAATTAGTTATAAATGCAGGAAACACAGAAATAGAGAGCTCAGGAGATATCCAAGCCCACGCCTGAGATATGTGCCTCAGGCATGCTGATGATTAACTGTGGGTGATGCTATTCATCATCACCTTCTAAGCTGCTTCTCCTCAGAAAAGAAGTTTTGCTGTTGATGGGTTTGCAGTGGCGTATCCGAAGCGAAGCTGGCGATCTCCATCCAGATCCACGCTACCTACCCCAACGGCAGCACTAATCGCAATCGCATTTGATACTATTTATTCTCATTTCTGAGCTGTCTCTCTTCCTCAACAGGTTCCTGCCAGCACTGTAAGACGAGTTTGCGTTACTACAGTTTCACCGCATGAGCTAAGTCCCCTTATTTCCACATTCAACATTCAGTAGCTACGGATTACGAGCTCTGCGGTTCAGTGGAGCAGGTCGTAGGCTTGGTGTTGATACACCCGTACATGTACGCATCTGACTGCCCGTGCACACTGTGTAATCAGCGTGCATTTTAAATCCGCCTGCACTCTTCTGCCTTAACGGTGCACATCCGTGTGTTCTGTGGATAAAAACGTCACATAGCATTTTACCTTGTATCAGGGAGAACTGAGATTTCTAAATTAACCGTTATTGCCTAATAACTGAAGCCACAGCTTTTCCATTTTTATTTAGCAGGAAATAATGACAGACAATTCATTCAGATTTGACATGGGTAACTTTTTGTACCTGCCTTTTAATGACGACTATATTAACAGCAAGCAGACTCCTTAATTAATAAAAGAAATAGGGTGAAGGGCTGTTTAAACAAAGGGGAAAATGCCTACGCAGTGCTCTAATTCGCTTTTCAACAAACCCAGCAATGAGCTTTTTCATGTCAAGAAAAAAAGCCTTATAAGACTAACATCATTACTTCTCCTCCTACACCCAAAGCCTTCCCATCTAAAGCATTTGTTTTTGCAGACGAATCACTGCAGTGTATAGAGACACACTGAAAATTTCTGGAGGAATCCCCGCCTGAATGACCATAGCATTTATAACAAATTGTATCTAGCAGCACAAAAGAAACCGCATACTGTGCTAGATAAAATGGCAACAACAGCTCAGCTCTTTTGACTCTCACAGCAGAAAAGAATTTATCTCCATAATGCAAAGCTCACAGCAAAAGACTGCTCTTGGCTGGCCAGCGTAGGTTTCTAGTCCGATCCAGGAGGACATACTGAACCTGTATGTCACATGGCATTTAATGCAAGTAGCTGATATTGAATATGCTATCTCTAAATGGTACCAAAGGTTTAAATGCTTGGAGAAACCCAAGAGTTGCCAGTAGGAGCTCATAGACTTATTGGAATGCAGGTGCTTAAAATGAAGGTTTTAAGAAAAGTTCCTGCCAAAAATCGAACTGAGAGGAACAGGCCAAGCATGAACAGCAGTAAGAAAGATAACAAGAAGACTGGATTGAAGACGAAATGTTTATCAATAAAATCAATTTTCAGTGACAAAATAGGGAGCTTCATTTGGCTCAGAAGTCCATGGTAAAAGAGTAATTTGAAAGTGAAAAACGTGAAAGACAAAAAGTATACAGTGTCACAAACCAAGCAAATTAAGGACGTTTTTGAGGCGCCGAAGCTTTTTGGAAAAGAAAGGCCAAAGACTTTGGGGAGGAGAAACTCCAAAGTCAAAAGTGACAGTTCTTTGGGATTGCCATGCAATTGAGAAAACCATGCAATGCCACCTGGCAAGCAGGTCAGGAAACCACTAACGTTATTATTAGCATAACTGAAAAGAAACTTTCTTCTCTTTCTCTGACATCCACAAAACGCATAGATTTATATATGGATATGAAATATGAAAACTGGATATGATACTTCTGGATATAATAGTTAGCGACAGATACAAGAAACCAAACAGGATAAACGATTACCACTACATATATGGATGCTTGCAAGTTAACCAAATGGCAACGTTTCTGGGAAAACCCTGCTAACGACAGCTTACGCCAAAGAATATGGACAAGAAATAGGTGCAATCACGCTAGTGATGAAGCTAAGGACCATCTTTGAACGCAAGTGTGCTTACAGCCTACAAGTTCATGCCGAGCTCCGCGGCTGGAGGGGACAACAACAGCGCAGGCTACAAACGGAACAGCTTGCAAAGGCATCTGAACAGAGCTGAGTAGTCCAAAAGACTATACTCTGGCTGTGTATAGACACATTTATACAGCTAACTTTTAGTTTTGCTCCTTAGGGACTCTGTAGGAATTTTCCACAAAAGGGAAATTCAGACATGCTGCAAGGTCTCCTGGTAAGGCAAAGGGAGAAGGTATGCGGAATGCATCTCGGGTAAAATGAAGTCTCATTTCAATGTGGAAAGAAAGAGGAGAAAAAGGTGTCTCGACTCTTTCATACACAAAGACAAAAGAGAATGTCCCAACACAATAATAACAACGTGATTTTGTCAGTAGAAGATTTAAGACTTTAAAGTTTTAGTTCTGAAATATTAGACTGAAATGCACTAATTATTTTAGAAAACAAATGCAAAACTAGGTTTACTTAAAACTCACTGTCATCTATTGCTTACATTAAGCATATTGTCTTGCTTGGCTCTGTTTGCTAATACTTCCATGAAGTTCAGATGAGCTGTGCAAAGAATATGACATGCAAACCACGTTGGCTATTTATTCCACTATCAAGACTTACAGACAGACCTAAAGTTTGTCCTGTTATGATCTTTTCTTTCTTATGTTTCTTAATAAGCAGTTCCAATTATCAGGTGACAAAACACAGCCTTCAGTACCCTGTGCATTGGTTTAATACCTAATTAATACTTTAATTCTGTCTACTACAGCAGCAAAGTTCACTGAACCAAATTATAGACACTCAAGCTTGCTTGCCGTGGGGAAAGAAGGAACAGGGATTTGAACGTTAGTGCTGGAGCAAACAAGAACGGGGCGTACATCAACTACTGCTACGTGGACCCCACTAGGATCATAGCTGGGTAGGTAAGGAACAGGTGTAACAGCAGAGCACCGTTCTGCCTCTGACAGCAGGCTAACGCTATTTATACGCACGGCTTTTACAAACCCTGGCTATCAATAAACTCCTTCCAGTACTTCTATAAAGCTAATGTTTTGGCTTGGTTTGCCATTTCCCAAATCTTCAGCATAATTAGATGCCAGTAGACATAAATAAACCTTAATTATTCATCAGCCATCAGTACAGCAGTACCAAGCGTCTGCAGCAAGATCTTTCGCCCTGTGAAATTCAGCTGCGGTGGCCAGTTCTGAGCACTGGACTTGGCGGATACACTCACCCACTGCACCTGGGTCACAGTTCATCTCTGAATAAATCCAGATTGCTCTCTTCAGTCAAAAAACACACAAAACACAAGTCTCCGTACAGATCTGACAGAGAAATCAGCCTGAACAGAAACAGGTCTTCGGTGCACACTTAAGTCTAAGTTTATACTCAAGTCTCAAACTGACGTCAGGCATGTTTCTGTAGAAGCTCGGCTGTAAATAACTGTATCGGTGCTTTCAGACATTACATCAGTGATGTTTGTAAAGCACTTCAAAAATTTTGGATGAAATCCCCCACGGAAATTTCAAGGGATAGTGGGAGGAGAGAAATTCCAGAGAAGAAACGAATTCCCGCTCAAGCTACATAATTAAACTATTATCTTCCAAATGAAGTAAAATATATGTCCAGCACCCACCAATATTAGGTAAAAATTATAATATTAAAAATAGTCACATTACTTTGAACACGACATGTATTTCAGTAACTTCTCTGCTTGGATCAGTGACAAAATCTTGCTCAAAACTTAAACAATTGTGTCTTTATTGGGCAAACTAAATGAATGCAAAGCAATTAGCTCCAAGGGAAATTGAAAGAAAATCTCCCATTTCTAAACTGACTTATTCAAATACCTTAAAAGAACCCTAAAAGAAAATTGTGGAAAGTGTGGAAACAGTGAATGGTGTTCAAGTGCCCCTCTCATTTAAGAAACAACGGTCAAGAAGTTCTCTTCATGCCCAACATGCAGCAAGGTTGTGAGTTCACCTGCAAGACATCTGGAGATCCCTTTCAACCTAAATTGTTCTATGATTTTCCAGAAATATTACAAACTACAAAAGCAGAAAGAAGAATCATAACCATAGGCAATCAGTTTCAATACAGCCACTGTATACAGTCACAGCTTTAATTACTTTAAAGTAAATTTAGACAGGAAATTTGCAAGGTATGAACATAATTAAGAAAAGGCCGGTCAATCAGAATTTCCATCTGATGTATTAGTTAAGTATTAGTTAAAACTACAGGTAAACAAAAAAAACGTGGCTTCCACCTTCGTCAACGGAAGATGCATGCATAACCAACTACGCAGTCAGACCTCCTGGAATAACTACGCTCGTTTTACAGCTAGGCAGATATTCATAAGGTATATATGTACGCAGATACTAACACATATATATTTACGTATATGCACTTCTTTTAAGTGTGCAAACAGAATGCACTATTACATTTCACAGTAAAATAAGTCAATTAGTCAAGGACCAAAAAATGAACAGAACAACATTTCAGACAGATGGTCCAGCACTCCTTAGGCAGATGGCTCTGCTAATTAGATACTGGCAAAAATAACATTAAAGAAGATAGTTTAATTACACGGTGCCAAAAAGTAGCAACTACATGAGATTTCCTGTTTTTTTCTTTTTCATAATCTGTTTGCTTTCATATCTTCTATCATGTATTTAAACAATACTTTGGGGAGTTGGGCTATAATGGCAATAAATGTAATAATATATGTCAACAAACAGGAGTAACACAGTCTTATCGGTCACATCAGTCCAGCAATGGAGCGGCTTCAAAACCGCCGTGACTTGCTGGCCTAGGATTTCCTGCAGTACACATAATTAGCTCTCAGTGAACACGTATGCTGGAGTCCACAAGCCGAGCTTAAAGAGGCCAGAAAGAAGAGTATCAGAACAGCAAACGTG